ATAAGGTGAGAGGAAGAGAATGTTTTTGTTTTAGTTTAATTTTAAGTTCTCTGATCTGACATCAATAAGCAGGGCTTTATGCCAAATCAATGCAATGCAAATTATCTGAGTGTACTAATCTTACACTGCAACTAAAATGATTAACAGGGTAACACAGTCTCCGAAGAGCGTAACGGCCCACTGGGGTCCCCTAAAACCACAGACATCTCCACTAATCACACCACATCTGGTGAGTTTATTCATGTTACCCAGAGGTTTTATCTAATCGACCACAAACTCACCTTACTTTGTGTTAGAAGGCACTCATGGAGCTCATTCATTCCAGCTAAATGTTTACCAGAAGAGGTTTGTGACATCAATACTGACCTGTTTAAGTTGATCCTAACAGGTACCCTGCAGTCCATGAGGAGGACACTTGGGCGTCTTTTCTCCTCGTCTTCCTCATCAGGGCAGATTGAGCCAGAGGTGTGTCTTTTAACATGATTGTCACTTACCAATGCAGAACAACCATAGAGATGTGTCACTTACTGAAAACATGAGTGCATTTTAAAGCAAGAAATCATCTTTGACATGCTGTTGATAATTTTATTCCTCGTTTTGTAAAACAAACAAAGTCTTGTGTACAGTATTGGTCCTACAATGAAAGCATTATCGGCTTTACATTGACATTACAGGAGTTTAGATATACAAAGGTTTGCTCAAACAAAGTTAAGCATTTTTTTTTTGTATTTGTTTATATTAAATTCAAGTTTATTTATTTAGTGATTATACATGTATTTATATGGCACACAATAGACATTGTTTCAAAGCAGCTTTCCAGGGAGATTTACCGTTTACATTTTGCAACAAAACATACAATTAGATCATATAAATATATAGATAACATACTTATGTGTGCTGCATGCATATGTCACTCTTACAGTATATATCCAATTAATACAGTATAAAGAGCTGGGTGATAATATAGTTACGTTGTGACTAAATAAATTATTTATTACATTATTTTTTTCATCCCGGTTCAATGTCTTGCCTAACAGACTTCCATTGTAAACAATTAATGTTAATAACTGCTTGTCCAATTTACAGTATTTCTGCTATAATTGTGACAAAGCAGTTTTCCCCCCACATTTTTTTTATAAACATAAACTGGGAGTATGATATTAATAGTATGAAGATTTTTTAATAGCGGCCCTGGACCCCTGGTTGAGAATCACTGGATTATAGAAAAAAAAGAAAAAAATATATATATATAATATATATATATATGTACAACTATAGATTCACAACATTGAATTATCGTCTATATTTTCATACAATAACTCCTAGTATTTAAAATGAATTGCTTTTAATTTTTTTTCTTTTAACAAATTTTAATTGGATGGAGACAAATCTTACATTTTTATATATTTGCGTTTTAAAAGCTGGTTGTGACACGTTTTGTCCTGTTCACTTCACTGAGAGCGGTAATCAGCTCTCTCCTGCAGGTGGCGTCAAATATTCTGTGTGTGGGACATTTAGATTCGCAAAACAGGATGAAAAATTCAAGGGGTTATTTTTACTGAGAATTATGATGTTATCCTCCAAACATTCACGTACTGCTACTGTCTTCCTCTCATTCCTCTGTATGTTTCTGTCTCTCTGTAGAGCCCTGCAGCTCCTCCTGTAGATGATAACATGACTCCTGAAGAGGTAGAGTGATGCGTTGATTTATTAGCACTGCAGTTCAGACAGACGGACACAATTAGCACATCAATCTCAGAGCCGTCTGTGAGCTGTCAGTCACTCGCAGTGACCCTGATTATGTTGTATTGGGGGGTTCAGATCAAAGCCTGGGAAGAGGAAGAGCTGGATAAGCCGATTGACATTGATCAGATCCGTGTTGACCCCTCACCTTTTCAGCTGGTTGAGAGAACATCTCTGCATAAGGTAATCCACAATCCCATTGAGATCACATATGAAATACTGTGTATTATGTTGAGGATTTATATCTTTCCAAGTGAATTATGAATTATAGTGTAAATAAATGTCAGTCCAAAGCTCTCATTATTTCATGCCCTCTGGGAAATGTTTTTATTTATTTTTTTTTTGATAAAAATATATAAACAAACATCATTATTTCCTGCATTCAGGAGTTTATATTGCAACAGAGTGAAATTTTTCCATATACATAGAAAAACTGAAATATCTGTCACAATATATAAATATATACGCCCCAAAAAAATTAAAAAAGACATTTAAAAAGTGTTAATATATTTTTCCAAAAAAAATATTAGAATAAGAATTCTGTTATTCAATTTAATATAATGAAAAATTATTTATGTTTGTATTTTTATTTCATATTAATTGTTAGTTAATTATTAATGTTTAGTTTTTCAATGTTATATATCAAGTATTATTTTTCAAATTAAAATTATTATTTAAGATTTTCAAAAAAATTATATATACACACACACATATATATATATATATATATATATATATATACACACACACACATTTATATATGTGTGTGTGTATATATATATATATATATATATAAATGATGTGTGTGTATGTGTGTATATATATATTTGTATATATATATATATATATAAATGATGTGTGTGTGTATATATATATATATATTTATACACATTTATATTTACACATTTTTATTTATATATATATATATATATATATATATACACATTTATATTTACACATTTATATATATATATATATATATATATATATAAAATTTACATATGTACACACACGTATATGTTTTCTTGTTTGTTTCAGACTCACACGCTGTTCTCTCTGCTGGGTCTCAGTCATGCATATGTAACCAGTATTGGTAAACTGGTTGGGGTGGTCGCACTCAAAGAGGTAAAGATGAGTTATCGCCTATGTCTACATTTATATTTACATTCTTTCTGTCATATGCTGGTGTGTCTGAGTAAATAATTCTGCTGTCCCCTCTTTTTCACACCCAGCTCCAGAAAGCGATCGAGGGTTCGACTCGTAGCGGAGTGCGACTGCGTCCCCCTCTGGCCAGTTTCAGAGACGCGAGACGCAAGGCCAAAAAGCCTTCTCATTCCCCTTCCGTCCATTCCTCTCCCACACGGGACAGAGATCTGTGGAGCGAGGGAGTGAAAAGAGAGACTGAAGACGAGTCGGTTAGAAGTTGCATCCAGAAAGCGGAGAAGGAGTGTGACGTCGCCACGGGCAACAGCAGCAGAAGTGCCGTCGGCACCTCTCAGGAGCAACTGCCTTGCCCTCCTTCCACACTCCCTCTCTCCTCTCTTCATCCTGTGCCTGAAACAGAGGTGGATGCTGATAGAGAGAGTGATGAGGAGCCGTTATAGGTCTATTGTTTTGTAATTTACTCAAATTCAGCCCTCCAGGGGGAGGCGAACCATATTATGGTGCTGCCTTTGAGCCCAGCATGGGTCGCTGCACATCTGAATTGGTGGATTCTCTACTCTCCGGACTGGACTCTTATGCTCTTTCTTTCTAGATGTTTTTATTCAGTTTAGTATGTACATACGGACAGTCGGTCTGACACATCTCACTGAATGTCTTCCCCTCTCATTGCCAATCCATCCCAGTGTTTGTCCGCTGTACTTCTTATTATATCTTTGTAAAATGAAAGATTTGTTACCTTGAGCTATTTATACCTGACCCGACCCTTTAAAAACTACTTGTCTTGGTGTAACCCAACGTATTCAGGTTTATTCAGTTATACTAAATGTTTCGACTTGCTTATTTAAATGCCGCCTCATTAAACACATTTTAGGTTTCCTTTTTTTTAACACTGTAAATGTGAAATTTAAAGGAGTATTCAAGGTTCAATGCAGTGTTGTTTTTGGTATCTATGATTGTTATGAATCGGTTATTGAAATGAAATGTAAATATTAGATGAAAAGGTTTAGTTCAACTATGTTTAAGTTGAAGTAAAATATAAGAAAAAAGATATAGAAATAAAAATGTAAACTCAGAATCAGAGAATGATGATATAAAAATAAGCTAATTCAAAAAGTTGCTACCTTAAATTAAGTACAATCAAATTGGATATTTAAGTAATTTCAACTTAAATTACATTAAACTAAGAAAATTAGTTGAATCTTGTATAATTAGTATAAAGTAGGCTATAACTTGTAAAAAACTAATTTTGATGAGTTAAAGCAATGCAAAAATATATGTCGTCATAACTTATTTATCATATCACTTTTTACAGTGCCTAACGATGGAAGTGAACGGCACAAATATTTGGATTCAAAGGCGGAAACAAGAAGCTTGTTCTTTTATAAAAACACTAACATTTAAAGGAGTAGTTCACTTTTAAAAAACTTTTGCGGATAATTTAATCACCCCCATGTCATCCAAGATGTCCATGTCATTCTTTCTTCAGTCGAAAAGAAATTAAGGTTTTTGATGAAAACATTCCAGGATTTTTCTCCATATAATGGACTTCAATGGGAACCAAACGGTTCAAGGTCCAAAAGACAGTTTCAGTGCAAACTCCAAACTGTTCAAAGGGCTTTAAACGATGCCAGACGATGAATAAGGGTCTTATCAAGCGAAACGATCGCTCATTTAAAAAAAAAAAATAACAAAGTTTAAGTTTTATAAGCTCAAATGGTCACCTTGCTCTGTTCTGTGATGCGCGTTCGTGACTCTCCTGTTCAAACTCTTTTTTTCAAGTCGTTCGTTGAATGAATCAAATGACTCGAAAAAAGATTTGTTCATTTTGATGAACGTGTTTTGAAAAGGAGAGAACAGAACAGAGCAAAGCTAATATTTTAGCTTATAAAACTTAAACTTTGTTATCTTAAAAGATAGTTTCGCTTGATAAGACCCTTATTCATCGTCTGGAATCATTTAAAGCCCTTTGAACAGTTTGCAGTTTGCACCGAAACTCTCATTTGGACCTTGAACCGTTTGGTTCCCATTGAAGTCCATTATATGGAGAAAATCCTGGAATGTTTTCATCAAAAACCTTCATTTCTTTTCGACTGAAGAAAGAAAGACATCTTGGATGACATGGGGATGAGTAAATTATCAGCAAAAGTTTTTTAAAAGGTGAATTACCCCTTTAATTTGTTAAAGCAGTTATATTATAATAGTGAATATTTTAACATAAATGTATTACCGCCATTTACTTCCATTGTAAATGCCTCATTGTAACCCACATTTTTACTTCTTTTTTTTACCTCTTTTTTGGAGGTTATTGATATTATGTTACATATAATGTAATTTGATCTTATGCTGAACCTGGAATATTCCTTTAATTACTAGTCATTCGTTTTGAAACAGTTTTGTTTACTACATAAAGCTGCAAAGTCATTACTTTTATCATTTGGCTCTTTTGATTATTCTATTCATTTTTATTTGTCCATAATTGTGTTCTAATGGTCTCAATAGCATGCAGGCTTTTTTTGCCACGTCTTAAAAAATACACAAAGTGCGCAATAAGGCTTTGTTTGCTTCATTTATTTGTTTCTTCATTATTTTTTGGGAAAAATAAACAAATAGCAGTATTCTTGAAGGTCAGGGAGGTGTTTTGTTCGTGCAGGAAGAAGAGATGGGTAAGAGCGAGAGAGTTCGACGGAGGACGAGGAAGAGCACATTGGAAGAACCCTCTTATAACCTTCAGTAAAGCATGCATAGATGTACAGTACGTGTCACATATCACACCTCTTATAGCGCACTCAGTCCCATATCAATGGATTTGTGTCTGTATAGTTTGCTGAACATGTTGAATCATAAATTTGATCATGACAACGTTTCTTATCCAAAGTATTTTTTTTTTCTGAATAGGATTCTTTCACCAAGAGGAGACAACACAGGGTTTGAGTTACAGACGGATAACAAATGAACGGAAAAAGGAGAGAAAGACGAGTTCACAGAAAGAAGGGAGAGAGGTAGAGCAAAGGACCGGTTACAGCATCATGCCAACAGACAGAAGTTTTGTTGTGAAAGATGGCAGTAGAATCGTACAAAAAAATCCAAATGATTAACAACTACATCCAGCTAAGTACATTTGGCTTTTTGTTATTTATTCATTCATATATACCTTATCTTACATAAAAGAGCACATGACATCACTCCTTTGGTTGCAGTAGTATTACCTGGGTTCGTGTGATTGGCATGTTGGTTATATGGTTGAAATCTTTGAGGCATTGTTCAGATGGAAAGGTGAAATATGGTTGGTGGGATTACAGGCACAACAGAGTAAATAATGAAATTGCTCTTGAATTGACAATGAATTAACCCAGAATAATGAATGAGGAATATAAAGGTCATCATTTAATATCCCTCAGGTGACATATTGTATGGCTAAATAGGAAATAATGTACAGTCAGGGCGCTCTTGTCATCGTAAAAGATTTGTTTGGCAATAATGACCAGCTCAAATCCTCCATTACAACGTACAAAACCGGTCTAAATGAACACTGCAACAGCTTTACAGTAAAAATGAAGTCCTCGGAGGTTATTTTCTATGCAGTCAGTGACTGAAATGCAAGATGTGTTTGTACGAAATGAGAAAGAGTGGGTCCGTGATAGGATAAATAAATGTTTTCATAGTGTGATGTGAACTTTGGATATATTTAACACATGATATCCAGTAGTATGAGCGCAATAAATAAAGTTTGTACTCTAAGTAGGCTAATATAACTATACGAGTGATGACGTGAACACATTTTCCTAATAGGAAACTTGTAAGATTACGGCACGGCAGTTCTCGAGTCAAAACCGTTTAAATTCGGATATGAGATGCTGAGAGCCATAGGACTTTAATGAGGGAGCGAAAATGTCAGTTTATATGTAAAAAGGAGAGTTCATTGACTAGTTTATTCATTCAGACATATGGCAAGCCATTTTAGCTTTTATTCATTTCCAGTATGTGAGTTCTTGATATCAACAATTAATTTTTTTTATATCCACAATTGAATTGCTGATATCTGTAATAGTATTATCACTAGTGAAATTTCACCATAGGCTGCCATTCAAAATAAATTGTTGATATCAAGAATTGTATTTTTAATAGTAGAAATATCATTTTTGATATCAATAATTACATTGTTACTAGTAAAAATGCGAATTCCTGATATCAATAATTAAATTGTCACTAGTTGAAATGTCTATTCTTGATATCAACAATTCAATTGGTACTAGTAAAAATGATCATTTTTGATATCTGAAAATGTATTTCTTATATCAATATTATTTCAGATATCTAAAATGGCTTTCTTACTATTAACAATCACATTCATGATATCAGAAATTTACATTGTCACTAGTAAAAAGTGAATCATTGATATCAAAAATGATCATTGTTACTAGTAGCAATTCAATTGTAGATATCAAGAATAGACATTTCAACTAGTAACAACTGAATTTTTGATATTGATATTCTTGATATTCTTGATATGAAGGTTTTTCCTAGTAATAATTGTATTTCTGATTAAATCTTGATATCAACAATTGGTTTTGAATGGCAGCCTATGGTGACATTTCACTAGTGAAAATACTATTGTTGATATCAAGAGTTCGTATCCTGGAAATGAATAAAAGTTAAAACGGCTTGCCATACTGACATGCAAAACTTCCAAGTTTGCACATTATTGTCAAACTCTAATGAATATGGATTGTTATTGTTATTTAATTGAATAAAATTTTAATCGGCTATAGACATATTTGTTATTGTGCTAACCAAACTATAATTTAATCGGTTCATTGAACTGACCTGTCCGAAATAAATTTCGCGGAACTGAATTCTTGTTCTCACGTAAATGCGTCTCTATAGCACGCATTGTGTTAAATGAGTTTTCACGTGCACATGATATTCAGTTAACACCCCACACCACTACTACTAAACCTACCATAACCAACCCATGCGTATCCTATGCACGTAAAAACTCATTTTTATACGAGCATGCTCTGTGAGAGATGGGAACGTTAAGGTTTGGGTTTCATTTTGCTTCATGCGTCACAAAATAAATAAAACCTGAGGAAGATGGATGACCACGTATGACATTCTCACCAAACCAGAGTGATACCATTACAACAAAAGATAACAAATAGCAAAATAACAAATAGATATCACACAGGATTCAAAGTTCAACCCCTCCCCTATATAATACTTAAATAAATAAATGGGCACATATTATTTCATTGGAGTTCTGTATGCTTCGTGCAATATAAGAACTTATGACAATGAATAAAAATTCAGCAGTTATATGCTTGGACTGCGACATGTAAAGACACTATAATATAAAACATTATTTTAAAACATTAACCTTTTGACATACAGTGAGATGTTTAAGAAATGTTTTATACTGTACACAAAAATCTGTCAGATCTGCATCCCAGCAGTGAAATAATATGTACCCCAACATATACAGGAGGGAGCGCACACAATTCTGTAGAAAAATAAACATTGTCCCAACATTGCATAAACAATCAGTCAATAAATTAATTCATTCATGTCAATACACTTCATATAGCTATTAACGCTATTCTTGCCACCAAGTTTGTATTACACTCAATCATCAAAGGTGTACTGTGTCCTCCAAAGAAACGGTCATAAAAAACAGACAGTTGCCTTTTTTCTTCTTTTTTTGTTGTTGTTTGTTAAATCCTTAGTGACTCATGCATGACATCACAATGCAGAATGATGTAGCTTCTGTTTCTGAACCGGGCTTCTTCACATCCGTTTACATACAAACACACAGTCAACACAAAGTTCAGCGTCATAGCGACTGTAATAGTCAGTGACCATGACAAACAGGAAGACGCATGTGCAGTTCAAAATTCCATATGGCCTGAGTTGTTCATGAGGTCACTTTCAACTCGGATCAACGTCCGTTCTCATTCTGCGGAGACTTTTTTTCTTGAATTCTCGATCAAGGATATTTACAGTATGGGGATACAGGTCCTGTTTTATTCTCCCCTTGATTATATAGTGAAAAGAATTGTAGGCAATGGAATACGTATTTTAAATCAGAAATTATGACATGCTTTATTATAGAAAATAATCATCAAGAACCGATCCTTTAAGTGGCACAAGAAAAACAGGTATGAGTCGCCAACAGGACTGTTCTGGGAAAAAATTTAAATAAAAAATAAAAACTTTACTGTCGTGTTTTTCTTTATGATTAATTTGAGGTTAAAGAAGTAGTTCACTTATTAAAAAAAACTTTTGCTGATAATTTACTCACCCCCATGTCATCCAAGATGTCCATGACATTCTTTCTTTAGTCGAAAAGAAATTAAGGTTTTTCATGAAAACAGTTCAAGGTCCAAATGAGAGTTTCAGTGCAGCTTCAAAGGGCTTTAAACAACACCAGATGATGAATAAGGGTCTTATCAAGCAAAACGATCGCTCATTTAAAAATTAAATAACAAAGTTTAAGTTTTATAAGCTCAAATGCTCGCCTTGCTCTGTTCTGTGATGCGCGTTCGTGACTCTCCTGTTCGAACTCGTTCGTCAAAATGAGCGAATCTTTTTTTGAGTCATTTGGTTCATTCAACAAATGAAATGAACGAATTGACTCGGAAAAAGATTCGTTCATTTTGATGAACGAGTTCGAACAGGAGAGCCACACAGAATAGAACAAGGTGAGCATTTGAGCTTATAAAACTTAAAATTTGATGTTGTTTTTTTTTAAAAAAATGAGCGATCATTTCGCTTGATAAGACCCTTATTCATCATCTGGAATCATTTAAAGCCCTTTGAACAGTTTGCACTGAAACTGTCTTTTGGACCTTGAACCGTTTGGTTACCAGTAAAGTCCATTATATGGAAAAAAATCCTGGAATGTTTTCATCAAAAACCTTAATTTCTTTTTGACAGAAGAAAGAATGACATGGACATCTTGGATGACATGGGGGTGTGTAAATTATCAGCAAAAGTTTTTTTTTTTTTTTTGACGTGAACTACTCCTTTAACGCTCCTCTCAATTGTCATTTCTTCTGAAAACAAGCTAAAGATAATTTAATCAGAGTTCATTTAATTGGATATTTCAAAATCCCAAAGGCAAGGTTTTACTAAACCAAAGAAAACGAAAATCCATGCGAGTAAAAGAAAATGGGAAATTAGAATTCTGCAAATACAATGGGAAGTGTGACTTTGTGTCTCATAAACCATCTAGTTTCCAATCTAATAGGCATATGTCCTTCACCCAACAACCAATGCAAGTGCAAAAAGGTTTTTCAAACGTTTCTCTCCTTTGCAGCTGATCAAATCTCTAAACACACAGAGCTCAGGGAGTAAGCTCAGAGTACTGAGGTCCAGTGCAAATATCTATAAAGTGTTGTATAGGACTCCAGAGTACAATGACAGACATCATCATGCCAAACGACACACAGTGAAGGAAGCACGCTATGTCACAATCCAGTATGAAATATATCCGTGTGTACGTACATGGATGAAAAAGCTTGTTGCATTACACTCGTGAGGGCAAAAAAATAAGGCAACACTTTATTTTGATGGTTTCTTCTGTTGACTATAAATAACGTTACAACTATATGTCTTCTAACTTAGTGTATTAGTAAACCATCTGCAAAATATCGGCTAACACTTTATTGTGATGCTCCCCCAACATACATCCTACTGACTATAAGCAAGCATGTTGGTGCAATGTTAATTATAGTCAACAGAATGTCTTAAAGGGACCATCAAAATAAAGTGAAACCAAAAAAATCTCCAAATAACCAACTTATGACAGTTTGTACTACTTGAATCAAAATGGGATTGGGATGTGATTTAATAATTTATATTTAGCTTCAGAACAATAGGATAGTATGCTGTCATACAAAGGCAAAACAGCGTTCATTTTATTTATTTTTTTCTTGGTTCCACTGTTGGTGTTGGTACAGCATTTTGGCCTTTGTAGTACACAAATATAGTGTATATATCTGTACACTAACATTCAAAAGTTTGGGGTCAATAAGATTTATGTGTATGTGTCATTTGTTCTTTCCTTTGAATAAGCTACTATATTGTCTGTTCAACTTAAAATAAATAAATTGATCAAATGTGACACTAAGGACATTTCTAGAAGATTTATTTAAAATAAAAGCCTTTTTTAAACTTGATATTCGTTAAAGAATCCTGAAAATAAAAATCTATAACCGTTTCCACAAAAATATTGCCTCTTTTCAACAGTTGATAATGTTTCTTGAGCAGCAAATCAGCATATTAAAATAATTTTGAAGGGTCATGTGACACTGAAGACTGGAGTAATGATACTGAAAATTCAGCTTTGCCATAACAGGAAAAAAAATTGCATCATTTTAAAATATAGAAAAATAGAAAAAGGTTATTTTAAATCATTATAATCTTCCACAATATTTCTGTTGTATTGTATTTTTTATAAAAGTTCCTTCAAATACATTAAAAAAAACTTTACAGACCCCAAACTTTTGAACCCTATGCATGTTTCTTTGTGTATTTGAGTCTATGAGGAGTTGGATACGTTGCATATAATACAAACAGCAGACATAATTTTGTATATTTGTTTCAGTTTAACGATTTCCACTTTTCACAGCTGAAACACTGAACTCGTGTTCCACCTAATAGCGTCAAAAACGTTTAAAAAAAGGCCAAAATGTAGTTGAAGTCGAAAAGAGAATGTGTGGTCAAATCAGTCTGTGTATGATCGGAAGTTCTGGAGGGCATGGAAAAAGCTTATGTTACTGTCTATTTTACAATTATATATTTAGGTTTTTTTTTTCTTAGAAAATAATTGTATTATCATCATTATGGTTTATTAACTATAGTTTATTGTCTTTATTTCGAATAACGAGAGCGGTCACTCAAGCATGCACATATTTAACCGAATGTTCTTCATATTCATCTTCCTGAATTACATACCTCCGTCTCTATCGCTCCATTCCTGGTGAGTTTTCCTCATTCTCCCCATTCCCAGTCCCAGGGAATTCCCAACTCCATTCTGTACCGTCCTTTTTCAAACATCCATAATATAAGGCTTAAAAAATCAAAATGTTCACGTACGCAGTTGCAGTAACTGTCAGTTCTGCTTTTCCATTTTGGGTTGGAGCAGTCACTTGAATTTCACAATAGTGTTTGATTCCTGAAATAGGAGTTGATATTGTTTGAATATGCTGATTGAAATGTCTGTCAAAACCAGCATAAGTCTCTCGCCGGCCGCTTAGTTGGTTGCTCTGACGTCTACAGGCAAGGATTCGGACTCCTCCTCCTTTTCTTCAAGCTCTTCAATTACAGACGGTGAGACATCAGACGCCTTTCGCTCTGTGATAAAATCTCCAGGGGTTTGACCTGGACTGCTTCCTCCCATTGAGGTCACTTCCTCTCTCTGCGTCATTGGAGATGGAATTAATGTCACTGGTTCTGGTTCCATGCATAACGTTATATCTTCCTCCTGGAAAAGAGGCTGGACATTAGTCTGGGTATGTGTCATTTCATTAAACGAAATTGCAAAACAAATGCGAGGACTCAAATGGGACACTCAAATAAAAAGCCCTATGTTAAAAGTTATTTATTATTACTTGTAGTAGTTCAGTTCAGTCATTTTTAAGTTGTTTCCCATAGAAAGTGTAAGGCCGTGTGTCCACCAAAGCGTTTTTCCACGCGCCTGGCGTATGTTTTCAATTGTTTTCAATGGGAGCACTGCGTTTTTTAAACGCCATGAGCGTACCGAGGCGCTGAGCGTTTTTTTCACGCTGAAGCGCCGAGCGCCCAGCGTTCTTTACTGGTCGCTGGGAGTTGAAAAATGTTCAACTTTGGATAAAACGCAGCGCTCATCACTGTCACTTTTTACCCAGCCGTCCAATCACAGTGGAGGAGAGGCGGGACTAATACCACACCGACTAATAAAGCCTAGTTCACACTATGTGATTTTAAGCCCGATTTAAGCCCGATTTGCAAATCGTTGAGTCGCCGACAAGTCAGGGTGTTATCGCGTGCAAATCGCGGGCGATTAGCGGACGATTAACGCTCGCCAATCCGTTAGTGTGAAAGAGCCAACAACGCACCAAAGACAGCTCGCAGACACCTCGCAGACAGGTCACCGAGCTCAGAAAAATATCTAGCATGCTAGATATCTCGAGCAGTCGCGCGACTCAATCTCAGTGATGTCATGAGTACAGCCAATCATAGCAACGCATGGGTTGAGGACACCAGGTAAATCTTACTTTTTCTTTTTTGCATTTTTTTTTCTCAGAGCAGATCGTCGAGCAAACAGTGTGCACTGCAGCACTAGTTTCTGTCTGACGTCCATATTCGCGTGTTGTGTTCTTCTCTGCAGTTTCGCGTCATTTCTGGTTCGTTTTATTGCGTGGTTTTTCGTGACAAAACATGGTTTCTAGACCAGATAGAATCGTGTCATTGTCAACTCGTTATTTGTTTGATTATTTTCAGGATTTAGACCGTACTATAGTACTGAAACAGCTCTCATTGAGTCACAAATGATATGCTCTTATCATCCGATCGTGGTTGTATCTCTGTGTAGTGCGTTGTTAACTCGTGTAGTGAGTTACGTCCTGTTGTGGATCAATCACGTTGTGTTGTGTGGTGTGAACAGCTAAACAACTTGAACACTCATGATTTCACTGAGAGCAAGTCATTTAGTGTGAACTGCACAGTTCAGCCCGACATTTTAAAATCATGTAGTGTGAACTAGGCATAACTGTCACAACATTCAACTGCTGTGGATATTCTGTATCATAGCAACGAAACGTCTCAACGGAAAAAACACTGCGCTGCCAAAACGCTCTCAAGCGCCCAAAGCACGGCGTCTTCAGCAGAGCGTCTAGCGTTTTTCCACGCCCCTGGCGTATGTTTTCAATGGGAGCGCCGCAATTTTTAGACACGCCATGAGCGTACCGAGGCGCTGAGCATTTTTTTCACGCTGAAGCGCCGAACTCCCAGCGTTTTTACTGGTCGCTGGGAGTTGAAAAATGTTCAACTTTGGATAAAACGCAGCGCTCATCACTGTCACTTTTTACCCAGCCGTCCAATCACAGTGGAGGAGGGGCGGGACTAATACCACACCGACCAACTGTCACAACATTCAAACTGCTGCGGATATTCCTGTATCATAGCAACGAAACGTCTCAACGGAAAAAACGCTGCGCTGCCAAAACGCTCTCAAGCTCCCAAAGCAGGCGTCTTCAGCAGAGCGTAAAAACGCTTTGGTGGACACACGGCCTAAATCTTTTTTTTTTTTGTGCATTTCCTGTCCAATGAAAAACGTGCTGTTTAACCACCATATTTTGATGCATCATTGGAGAAATTGACTAGCAAACTGGTTCCTGACAACGTAGTAACATGGTTGCACCTCTGTCGTTTGGACTACATTGTTCAACGATCAGAATCAGAATGAGCTTTATTACCAAGTATGCTTTCACATACAAGGAATTAGTCTTGGTGACAGAAGCTTCGAGTGCACAGACGGAATCATGACAGCGACAAGATAGATAATACAAACTAAAATAAGTGATTAAAAATAAATACATAAAATATGCACAAAACAGACATATATGTAAGTACAGGTATGCTACAACACAAGGGAATGGGAATGAGAGGTATGGTATGCTAAATAAGTATAAAATGAGACCGGACAACAGGTGAGTGTGGATGATGAGTATATGTAGAAGAGGTAATAGGGGATTATCACGCTTCCGGGTTTCATGGGCGGGATTTGTCAACTTTGTGCATGTCCGCTTCCGACGCAGTTCAACAATGGCTGAGACGAAGGCTATATATGTCACTGCTCTGTTCCACTTTGTAAAACTAACCAACAACGCCAACCCTATGTAAGTTTTCATGGATTCCCGACTGAATTGAGTATAAGGAAGAACTGGAATAAAACTTTAAAATAAAACAAGGTAGCACGTTTGTTTGCTGCCGGCACTTTAGTGAGTCAGACTAATTTACCAGGGATGCCGAATAAATAAACTTAGTGTAGTCCTTCATCAGTTCGTCAGCGAGATCAGTGATTCAACGGAAGTGGCAGTGCACAAAGATCACAGAATCCGGAAGTCCTACGTATCAGCGTGATAATCCCCTATTAGGCGGTGACAGGTCCAACTGGTTAGAACTCAGGTGATTGTGAATGGATGGGAGGAGCAGAAGGACCTGTGCTGAGGACATATTGGCAGAATCTTTTCAATGGCAGACAACATGTTTACTGCCCATGTCGGGACATTTAGTTGTTCAAGAGGTAGATGGCCTGAGGAAAGAAACTTTTCTTGTGCTTGGCTGTACTGATGCGTAAGTGTTCCTGGTGTGAGGGGTCCAGAGTGACTTTGCCAGCCTTTTTCTCACTTTGAATGAGCACAGTTCTTGGAGAGTGTGAAGGGGTGTACTGATGATTCTCCCAGCAGTCCTGACTATCCGCTGTAGTATTCTGAGGTCTGATTTGGAAGCAGACAGAAGTGCAGAGGTCAGACACTATGACTGTAGAGAAGAACTGCTGAAGCAGGTTGAACTTCCTCAGCTGACAAAGGAAGTCCAACCTCTGCTGGGCGTTTTTCCACAACTGAGTCAATGTGATTGTTACACTTCAGGTCCTTAGAGATGGTGGCGCCCAGGAACCTGAATGACTCCACTGTTGTCACAGTGCTGTTCACGATGGTCAGTGGGGGGAGTGTTTGGGGCTTTCTCCTAAAGTCATCAATCGTCTCCACTGTTTCAAGGGTGTTCTGCTCCAGGTTGTCGTGACTGCACCAGACTGTCACCTCTTCAACCTCCTGTATGTAAGCAGACTCGTCACCGTCCTGAGTGAGGCAAATGAGTGGAAGGTCGTCTGCAAATTTCAGGATCTTTTTGCAGTGCATTTATTGGTGTAGAGGGAGATGAGCAGTAGGGAGAGCACACATCCCGGGGACCCACCAGTGCTGATTTAAAGGTGTAGGACATTAATTTTCCCAGTCTCACTAGCTGTTGCCTAGCTGCCAGAAAGCTTGGTTTTAGTCTTAGTTTGGTCTGGAGGAGTTTTGCGATGATGGTGTTGTGAAAGCCATGATGAAGTCCACAAAAAGTCCCATAACTCACATAAGTCCCAGGTCTGTCGAGATGTTGCAGGATGTTGACTGCATCATGTTTTGTTGGGGAGGGAGTAGATGTTTCCCCGATGGTTGCTAAGCAACGCGATTCTAAAGGCCTGTTCACACCGGGACGAATTTCGCGCGCGTTATTCGCAAATGTTTAACGCCTCGTGACTAACTTGGGGGCGCTCAAACACAAAACGGTCTTGCCGAGCACACATATGCAACGGCTAAGAAGATATACGCCAAGTAGCGTCGGTGTCTACACAGCCAGGAAGAAATAAGATGAGGAAGATGCAAGGCAAGATGAATGTAGAGCTGCTGTTCCCGTTGGTGCTGGAACATAAAGAACTATATGACAAACACGACAGCGACTACAAATATCTTGAAAAAAGAGAACTGTTATGGAGTGGTATTGCAGAGCAAATTGGCGCCATCTAATGTCAGGGAATGAATTTGCATGTTCACTCGGCTCATCGTCAGCGAAAATCGCTTGGGTGTGAACACAAAAAACGCATTGAAAAATGCTGACGAATAACGCGCGCTGATATTCGTCCCGGTGTGTGTATGGGCCTTAAAGCTACAGAGGTGAAGCTTAACTAGTTCGCTTCCCATGCTTGCAAACCCATTTAGCGTGGTGGTGTGCACAGTAACTTTGGCTCCGCTTCCGAAGATGCACGACTTCGAGGCGAGTCTATATGAATTGCTTACATTTACAAAATGAGCCTACACTAGCAGAAATAATCCCTTTTAATGAAAATAAAGGTCCATGTTTAATAAAATTTGAAAATAGTTAAATTGTTGTTTAACTTAGTTTTATACTTATGTAGTCATGTCCATTTTGTTGTCGCAAGTAATAATCTAAAGGTTTACTGGGTTTTACACATTTTTTTGGTTCATTTGAAGTGTGGGATTGTTGAAGTGTAATAAAAACAAACATCATCATATGTGTACATTTACTACTTCTCATCGAAGCTTCCCGATGGTTTAGAGGACAATTAGTCAGAGCTGGCCTCATCCCTTCAAACAATAGTACAACGGTGAGCACATCAAGTATAAACGCCTCGTCCTCTTGAAGAGGTAGGCACTCAGTCAGCGAAGGGTTGAGCAGCACCGCTGCCCCTCCAACTATATTGTCTCGCGAAACGTCTGAATAATCACAAATCGGTGGGTGTGGTTTGTACGGCCGAATGTTCAGCAGTTTGTCCCTAAAGAATAACTAAGGACAGGATCATCTGATACTATAGGACTGTCATTTATGACATCATGTGAAGGTGGTGGAAGAATAATGAAAGATATATAATGTACAGGCCGAGAGCATATTGGTGATGATGGAACTTGCGAATATGACTAACAAACCTGAAACATTGATTCGGCCAATAGTTTGGGGTGGGGACTATGCTTTTGCCTGACCAAAAGGAGATGGGTGGAGTGTTTGAAAAACCTGTTTGAAAAGTCATTATTTTTTTTCAGTTTCCTATTGGCACAGAAATTACACACTTCAGCTTTAATGCTGGAAAAGTTGTACACAGCAGCTCATACTTGACTGCAACACAGAAAATGTAGTCTGGATTCATACTTTTCTAGCTGCTGACAGAAATAGATGTTTAGGTTTTAAATGATAAATCAATAGATTCAGTATACTGTTAAAAAATAAGACAATATTTGGATCAGCGTAATTTTTTCATAATACTGTTATAGTATATATAAATATTTTTAATTAACTTTTTTCCAGTTTTTTATTCTTAGTTTTAGTTTAAGTTTGTTATTTTGTTATATGCATGTTACATTCGTATTAGATTTAGTTAATACAATTAATTAGTTTTAGTGTTTTAACATTTCTTTTTAGCTTTATTTTTTTCAGTTTTAGTATTTTTTTAGTATTTAAAATTAGTTTGTATTTCAGTTAGTTGCCAAGGCAACAGTTTAAGTTCCCTATCAGTCAGTCATGTTCGACGCTGTCACAACTGAACTGACGAATTGGGATCCTGCCTGAGAGTAATGTGAATTTCAGATCGTTCTTGCGCTTTGCATTCAACGGATGAGCATATCAGTACAAAGTCCTCCCCTTTAGGCTGTCCATGTCGCCTCGTGTCTTCACGAAAGTCATCGAGGCGGGTGGTCCTTGTTTTCTATGTGGGAACAAGCCGTTTGAAATATCCCTGCGGGCAGGATGTGGTCTCGCATCCTTTTCCATAGGTAAGCTTTCCCAGTGTTATCCAATAGTCTCACTGTATGGGTCAGAAAGAACAACAGTGATCAACCAACTCCTAGTCCAGCCTTGTCCCATCTTCCGCCCTGGTAGGTGGCTGTCGCAGGGCACTGGAAGGGGCAGCAATAGTAGGCATTTTGGTAGGATCCCAATTCGTCAGTTCAGTTGTAACGTCGAACGTGACTCACTGAGAGGGAAGGAGGGAACAGAGACGTTACATTCCATCGCCATAATTGCTGTACCACTGCTGAATGGCCGGGACACACCATCTCAGCTCCTCAGTGCAAAACTTGAATGTGCGAGAACAAGCCTGCGTCCTTATCTACCCACTTGTGGGGCGGGGTTTGCAATGCAATGTCCATTGGCTCATTTAGTTTACACTCGAAGGTGATGGGGTCTCAGGCGAGATCCCAATTTGTCAGTTCGGTTCTGACATAACGTCTCCGTTCCCTCCTTCAGGGAACGGGGGTTACATTAGTAACCTAGATGTTTTTCATCTAATATTTCTGTTTTATTTTAATTAACAGAAACGATTTTGTATCGTTTTTGCTTTAGCTAACAATAACTTCACAGATTTAAAGCTACACTATGTGATTTTTACCCCCATCTAGTGGTGAAAAGGTATATGACCATCCAGTGAATATTAATTTCTCTCAATTCCGATTTCGTTTTAACTCGTACGGTGGCCATTGTGGTCCAAGATTAACATGGCTTCCAGTTCGACCTCGTCCATGAGTGTTAACTCAAACGTAAACGCGAAAGGCGAAGCTTGAATTAATGGGTATGTCCCTCTTTGGCTAATGTACTTTTAAGATGGAGGGGCAACATGGCGACCGACATTAGAACCCCTTACCCGTATGTATTTTCAATGGCATATTATACACTCACGAGAATACTTTATTACTTGAACGAAGTAAATATACATTAATGAGCACATATATTTTGGAAAGAACTAAGTGTTTTTAGCTAAGACAATACTGTTTTGGGGACCTGAAAATGGAAACTTTTAAAAATGCCTATATACTGTATGAGTAGTGTTTCTTTACAAATTGACATCTCCAACTACTGACCTGGCATGAATAATACAACGTTTTTAGTCGTTTCGCCATTCGTGTGAACGGGTTATTTTGACAATGTTGTTGCCTGTACGCAGAAAAAGGCAAAGGAAAAACTTTTCCATCTTCTTTGTTGTGTAAACATACCCTCAGATGCTGTATAGTTGTCTGTTGGTATCATGTGCATGATCATGTTCATAGTTAATGTGATGAACTACACCTGTGCTATGTAACTTCACTAAAAATGATTCCAAATAACTAGAAAAATGAAGTTAATTTTGAGAAAAGATCAAACATCAATTGTTTGCAGAGGTCACTTGCTATTTTACTTGTAGTGCAGTGACATTTAGATATGTTTAAGTGTGGCATAAGTGTCATTTAAGGGCCACTTCACTTCTTTCCCACTCACTTTGATCTCTTCCTCCTGGGCTTCCAGTAAAGGTGAGTGATCTGTCGTCACCTCCTCCGTGGGGACTGCTAGATTTCCATCTACTGTTACAGGCATGCTCATGTAGCCCATCATGTCTGCCTGATAGGTCTCTGTCCCCACTGTCCCCCACAGATCCACTAACGGGGGGTGAGTACGGGAGGGCAGGCTGTGGATGGTGCTGTTGGGAGTAGCTTGTAAAGAATGAGTTGCACTGTGTAGTCTTTGATCCAACATCTGCAAATAGAGAGGATAACAGCTCAAGTTTCCATTGCAGTAACAGAGCACAACAGTGAAATCCCACTCATTCAACTTCCTTTGCTTTCCCAATAATTTTCTCAATTTAAAAAAAAAAATAAATCTCTATAAATTATAAGCCAAGAACCAAAGCAAAGAGAAACCAAAATGACAAACTTTGATTACAAAAAAATAAAAAATAAAATTGTAAAAATGAAAAAAGATAAAGTATAATATTTAAAATTAATTTTATCATAAATATAAGGATTGAAAGAACTAAAAACAACAGCAATGACATAATTGAATCAGCAATGATCTTAAGACAATTTTAAGTAATATATATATGTATATATATATATATATTGTGTGTACTGTGTATATAAGTATTTTTTTATATTTATATGTGAGTGTGTGTGTGTGTGTGTGTGTGTGTGTTATTGTCATTATATTTAAATTGTCATTTTCTTACTCTATAACTTTGTCCTGTTTTCCAATAAAATAATCTATTTATTTTCAAAGCAAATGCATTTTTTGAGAATAATTTTAATTTGATTTAGATAAAAGTAAACAAAATTAGTAAACTATATTTGTCAATATGTTTATTTTTCTTATCCTATTCTCAAATAATTTTTCCAATTTATTTGTAATATTTAATGGGAATGGGCATTCACTGTTGAGAACTTTTGGCATGATTTATGTTTCCATAGTTTAACATTTAAACATTAAAATAAAATCACAGTGACCAATATCTTCTACAACAGCATTATCAATATTTAACAATCAAAGACTTTTGCTAAGTCTGTCTTGAAAAGTTTATAAAGGAGAAAAGGGAATGAGTTTTTTTTTTTTTTTTTTTTTGTGGTTGAAAAAACAACAACAACATTCCCCCCACCCTCCCTTTGCAATGGCCAGTGGGATTTGAAGTATTAGATTCCCCCATTTGATCCAGTGAGACCTCAATTACTGTGACGATCAATGGCTTCTGGTTAATGGCTGGATGATGGAACATGATTAAGTTTTTACTGCTCTTACTGCTGATACTAAAGCCGTTGTTGAACTGACCACCGGGACTTGTACAATTTCAACACAAACATGATGCCGTAGCCAGCAGAGCAAGAGATGTTGTTGCAGAACACGCAAATCAGCTAATTGGAATGGTAATTTTGTACCTCACCTGTTAATATAAAAAGATCTGTTGCAGCACAGCCTTATGGGAGACTTATGTTAATGTGCCAAGAACTATTTCTGCAGAGGCATATGGAGGATACATTTACTGTAATGTCTCCTCTGTTACTAATACAGGAGATGAGACTTATTTCATTCCTGCTTTCATGCCACACGCATAAGCAGTCCGTAAATGATGAAGGCTCACATTTTACATTGTTTTGGCTACAAAGCCACGGTTCTGTTAAAAAAAATAAACAAATAAAATTAATTTCTGGGTTTCCACATTGAGAATTTGATGGACATAAATTATAAAAGGGTCATTTTGTGAAAAAAAAAAAAAAAATATGTAACATGAACAAACTGAGAAAAAGAAATCTTTTAATATTTAATTAACATTAACAATGATGAATAAATACCGTAATAAATGTATTGCTCATTGTTTGTTAATACATTAACTAATGTTAACTAAAGGGACCTTATTGTAAAGTGTTAAAAAATTTATAATTTTGGGATTTTTGTCTAAGAAATAATATTAAAAAATTGTGTTTTCTTTTCAAGCAACAAGAACGTTGATTCTTTTTTTCTTTATTGTGATATTAGGAAAGTTGTATCACTCTAAAAATTATGCCTCGTAAAAATAATCAAAATTACGTTTTATGCAGAAATTAAAAACATTCTGATTACAGAATTTGCATTTTTTATGAATTTGCATTTTTTTACGTATTTTTTCATAAATTAATAATTACGGACACAAAGAGAGTCACGATTTTCACCTACCAAGACATCTGCACCTGTTAATGTGGATGATGAAATAAATAAGCACATTACTGCTTGCGTGTGCAGTGTGAAACGGGCCTCATGGGATTTGTAGTTTTATGACTCACCTGCACTGCCCCAGCTGTAGTTTCTCACTCACCTGTGTCTGCTGTTGATACTGCAGGAGCTGCTGCTGCTGGTGGTATTGTTGCATCTGTTGCAGGTGCTGGAACTGGTGTAACTGGTTCTGATACTGCTGCTGTTGGGACAGGAAGTGAGCTGCTGTGTTTGGGTCATATCCACCCTCAGTCCCGACTGCCATGACATACGAACCAGTGGCAGGAGAGGCCACACCTGACTGTTCATTACTAATTGGCTCCCAAGCATCAGAGGAAGAAAGGCAGTAAAGACCCTGGGAGACGTAGCTGTGGGGCCAAACCTCCGCAGATGAATGGTGCACTATATGGTCTGTGAAAGAAAGAGAATAAAAAGACAAATGAAAATTGGTGTATATTTTTCTTTCAGATTTGAATCATTTTTCACACAGCCTGTGCTGATCTAAGTTGGCGTCTGGTGATTATTACACGGGTATTTATAAATACATAAATGGAGATGAAATATTGATCTGAGTTGGAATTCTTTTATCATGTTAGAAGAAAGAGAACCCAGAGTGACGTGAGAGAAATGAGGCTACAGCAAGAAAATTAGTCTCCTTAGTGGTCAGAAGTATTCGAGAGAGCAGCCATCTATATTATTGATGAGTGTCTTACAAATAGATTAGTTATTATGAACCTCTTCAAAAGAAAAGATTATATTCTTTAGTCATACATAAAACAAATGATTGATTTTACTTTGTGTACAAGTTTCATGATTTAAAGGGATACTCCACTTTTTTTTTAGAAATAGGCTCATTTTACCACTCCCCCAGAGTTAAACAGTTGAGTTTTACCGTTTTCGAATCCATTCATCCGATTTTCTGATATTTAGAAGAATATCAATAACCAGACAGTTTCTGGTCTCATTGACTTCCATAGTAGGAAAAAAAACATATACTATGGTAGTCAATGGGACCAGAAACTGTATATATACATGTGTATAATGAAGGTAAAAACAATATCTCTTCTGGCTTACTTAAAGCAGCACTACGTCGTTTTTTCAACCTTTATAATATTTTTTCCAAAACCCTTGAGACGGTACATGTCACAATATCTGGTTTGTGTTTCCCTGGGTATCCACCAGAGGTCTTCTTCCCCACGGTGTGATCCTTTCATGAACTGCATTCCCCACAATCCTTCTCTGTTCCAATCACTGTTCATTGTACCCAGCTGTTCCTTGTTAGCTCTTTGGTTAGTTTCTGTGTATAAATACCCTGTCTGTTTTAGTCCTCGTCACGGAGTCGTCACATATTGTCACCACACTTCTCAGGTCTGTCTTTCTAGTCTGTTTCTTGTTTTGTTTATTGTTGTTTTGTGTTTTGAATTGATTATATGGACTTTGACCCTTGCCTGGATGACTATAGTAAAATGTCACGTTTTGAACAGTAAAGCTACTTGAAACAAACAAGTTCTAAACAAGAACCACAATTATAGAGGTAAATGGTTGTCAATAAAACCATTGCAGAATGAATATATATATATATATATATATATATATATATATATATATATAAAGCGATTATATGCAAAGTGACATAGGCTACTGAAGACGTCACGTTGTCGTAGCGACCTCTTTTGGTGTTTCACTTTGACAATTGTGGCGACGTCATGCTAACGTAAGCGTGACTAAAAATGCACGTGACGTCGTCACAACGTTATATTGTTTGCTGGGTATGATTTAGATTATACTTAATAAAACCCACTGCACTTGGATCTACTGTTTCCCATGTGTGAAATGTGACAGAACATCGACTTACAATAGGTTGAATGACAGTGTCTGTATTGCTTTTACAGTCACTCTGTGACTTCGGGGAGCGAGTAGGAACCCGAGCACAAAAAGAACTACAAAATACTTCTGTATGTTGTCATGGCTGAAGCAGCAAGTAAAACCAAATGTGAAGTGCATTGCAGTTGGTAATGTGTTGTGAAGCTTCACCCCTCGCGGCATCCTTTGCTTTCTTTTGAGGGCGCTTAAAACACTCAAGCATCCCCGTAGAGCCGGGGCGGGCAGCTCGCGGCAGCTCGAGACGTGAAAGTATACTGATTACTGAGTTTGGTAGGGGCTACATTCTTACAAGTACATAATACATGATTAGACTAACAAAATAATCGGTCAGGATAACTATCCTATGTCTGCAGCCTGATAGTCATGTTTGTTATTTATTTTTCTGGTGAAAGTGTCTTGCCTCAGGCTATAATGTAAATCGATTTTTCAAATCTGGAGATTCATCTATGGTAGCTTGATATTATAATAGTCTATTGACGACATGGCTATTATCTACCAACCAGCAATACTCCATAAAGACACATGAAAAGTATCTCAGTTCACTGTGCCAACATATTCTTCACTTGAATCCATTACCTCAAAAATCAAAGTGTCAAGCCCTACAATTCTCACTACCAATTACAATTTCTTCAAAAAACCAGCGGCACTTTTTTTTTACCTGAGCTCTGAGTTTTTGACTTTCATACCTTCTATTTCTTCTATTATAATTATGCTCAGTGATTTTATTCATATTGATTATGTTAGTAATACAAGCACAAGTGAATTCCAAATTAAAGGCTGTCATTTGGAACGACTGCATGCCAAATCTGGTCTCTCAGATATTCACTCTCAGTTTCTATTGCCTTACAACATAGCTATACCCTTGATATTCGCAATAGTGATATGGTGCGTTCTATTATTCATCCGTCTTGGAGATCCGAATCGGACAACAGACGTTGCCTAGAACCCAGATAGCAAACTGACATTGAATCAACGTGGAAATATGACATAGTTGATCTGACATTGTTTTGCTCATCGAATTAACGTTGAACCAACGCCAGACGCGTCATTCTTTCAAAACTAACGGAAAATCAACTTGAAATCAACGTGTTGTTTCAACGTTATGAAAGCAAACCAATTTTCGATTTTCATTTAGCTTTGAAGAATGCCGCGTCTGACGTTGGTTCAACGTTAATTCGATGAGCAAAATCAACGTTGTTTCAATGTCATGAGAGACGTCGTTTCCACGTTGATTCAATGTCAGTTTGCTGTCTGGGAAACACGCCCCCTTTCCTCGGATTTCTCCTCTCGGACATCGGACAACCGTCAGGACATCGAGTAAGAATTCCGTTTCGGAATTCAAGATGGCTGCGCCCTGTGACTTGTAAGAATGAATTGTTTTCATTGTTTTTGAACTGCTTTGGTATTTTAAATGACGATTATAATGACTCGTATTACTGCGTCCCCTGTAGGTATGGGAATCGGTTGTTGTGAGTGCAATTACTAACGTTGTTAGCGTTGCTAACAGAAGATTAACATGAAAAACTTTAAATAAAGTGAACATTTTCAAGTTCAAATGGCTGCGTTTTGATAAGGTCTAGTCATAATATTTTTATTTTAATGTAAGTGCCTGGTATTCGGCCAGTGCTACCATTACAACAGCTTTCTCCGACTCGGACAAGCAAAACATAATAGAACTCTTGAAGTGTGGACGTGACGTCAAATCCGAGGTTCGGTTCGTCGGGTATAATAGAACGCACCAATAGTCTCCATACTTTTAAATCTTGTCTCAAGCCTTTTTACTCAGGCCTTTGGGTGTCATGAAATGCATTTTTATTATTATTATAAGATATGTTACTGGATTTACAAAAGACTTTTGTTCAAAATAGTTCAAAAATGCGATAACAGTTACAGTTTTGTTACACCTCTGCCTTAGCATATGACATAATTATCACATTATCTGTCTGTAACATGCAGATGGCTTTCATTGTCCTGAGCTCTCATGTGAGTCTGTAAGGCTGTACTGAACTGTTCAATGGATTAGTTCTTGTTCTCCTGAGAGTCACGGGTCTCTGACCTTTAGTTATTCATTTATTCAAAACCCAATGTGCACTGCTTTCCAACATAGTAATCCCACCCTCACTCGAGGGGGCTTTCACTATAAAGTTTCCTTCTTAGAGAAACCTTTTAGCATAGGCCTAAATAAAAGAAAACAAAGGAAAAAGTCTAATTTTTCAGTCTAATTTTTCAGAATTAGTCAGGGATTTCAAACCATATCCTCTACATATTCTTTGAGCTGAAACGGAAAGTTGTTGAAAGAAAGTGTTTGATTGCAGTTGATGACAGCAAGTTGCCAGCACTCATCAGGGCTCACAATGTGACACGGAAGTTTTGTTACTAAATTGACTTCATTCCTACGTTTCCAGTCTAAAGCACAGTAGGAAGAGGTACGATTATTCTCTGAGCTTGCAGTAGTCAGTACCTCGGCTGGTGATGCTTTCCTGGTTGGCCTCGCTCAGGTGGGCTACGCTCCCCTGATTAGATCCCACGCTTGTGCTCTCCCCATCCATAGAGCTCCAGGCCATCAGCGTCGCCTCAGAGATCGCAAACTGTTGAAGCACACCTGACAGGATTCAAAATTCACCGTTTTAGAACAAGGCAGGTTCATTTTTGAATACATTGTGTACAATATGTATTGATACTTGTTGTGCGTGTCTTGCAGATGCTAATGATGCTATACTGCTACTGGTTGTACAGGGTATTTTAGGCTCATTATAATATTACAGATTTGTGACAAATATTAATTTGACCCTTAACCCCTAAATTAAACCCTCCTGTATTTAAGCCATTATTTAGTAATTTATCTCCCGGTTTCACAGACGAGGCTTAAGTCTAGTCCCAGACTAAAATGCATGTTTGAGCTGTTTCAACTGAAAACAACTTGCACTGACATATCTTAAAATATGTCTTTGTTTTGTCTCAAGTCTCAACACTTTTTTTCCTCTTAGGCATGTTTATAAAAGCTAGTTAAATGTCCTAATTTATAATTTAGGCCTAATTCAGGCTTAATCTAAGCCCTGTCTGTGAATCCAGGGCCAATATAGATTAAAATATACACTATGATTAAAATGTACATTGTTCAAAAGCTTGGGGGTCATGTTTTTTTATTTTTAGAAAGCTTTTGGTTCAGTGATTAAAAGTTTGATTCAGTGGCAGTAATGACTTTTACATTGTTACATTAAAAAAAATCTATTTCAAATAAATGCTTTTCTTTTGAACTTTCCATTCATCCAAGAATCCTGAGGAAAACGGTTTCCACAAATATTAAGTGTTTTCAGCTTTGATAACAATAAATATTAATAATAATAATAATTCCTTGTGCAAAAAAAAAAAAACCATCATATTAGAACAATTTCAGAAAGACCATGTGGCACTGAAGACTGGAATAATGATGCTGAAAAAAATCAGATTTGACACTTGAATTCCATCAGTTATTCTCACACCTAACCCTTAAATCTCTGTCACCGCACACGAAGATTTATGAAAGGTGCACTCAGTATTTTTGTATATTGTGTTGATAGCCGATATAGCAGTTGTAAGGGATAGTCAAACTGTAATATTGTTAAGCATTTTAGAGACAGAATGAATTGGGAATGAATGAATCTGTATATGTTTTGTGGTAATTAAAAATGATGTGAACATTTTATTTCTATCCTTAAAGCCGCTAAATAAAGGAATGCATTACAACTCTCTAAATTACTTGCAATATACTGTACAGTACATTGATAAAAACCCCCTTAAAATGACAGTCACCTAAAAAGGAACATTTCATCATCATTTACTCACATGTCGGTCCAAATATGTATGATTTTCTCGTTTTTTTTGAAACATAAATTTTGAAGAAAGTTGGTAACAAAACAGTTTCGGTTCCCATTAAATTCCGTTGTATTTTTTATTTTTTTTCTCCATATAATGGAAGTCAATGGGAACATGTTCGGTTACCAACATTCTTTAAAATGTATTCTTTTATGTTCAACAAATGAAAGAAAATCATGCGTTTACCACATTTCCATTAACACATTAATACTGTAATAATGACAATAATAACATGATTAATTGATAACGACTCACTAGTATGTAAAATCTTGTAGTAGCGTACTGCTCAATATGTAAACATGCAGAAGTATAGCTTACTTCTGAGCACTAGATTTTGCGTTGGCCTTTGTCTCTAAGTCTATAGGCTATGTGTCTCTGACCTGCAGCAAAGCGAGCCTCCTTCTCTCCGTCACTGAGGTCGCTGTATGCGTCATTCTCAAGCTTGCGCTCTTGTTGGAGGTGCAGACTTGAGGCGCGTGGCCCTACTACGCCCCCTGCGCCCACTGTCTGCATGCCCCAGTTCTGCCACTCGATCATGTGAGCCACGCGCCCCTGGGCCATCGCTGTCGGCTTTGTCACCTTGTCCTTCATGGAGCGAGACACTCCTGAAGTGGACGAATAGACAAAGGGTGGATGATGGGATGAGAAGACAATGTGATGTAGAAGTTTTTCAGATAAGGGAGAGAGGGAGGGGAAAAAACAAGATAGAGGAAATTAAGTCAAATAGTTTTACAGAACAAGATTGCATCTTGCATCTAACCCTAGTGACTAGTGCTGTGTCCGAAATCCTTACTGTATAATAGGCATTACATTTGGTTTGAAACTTACTATGAATGTGTATAGAATGAAGAAAAATGTTTTAATTGTCATTTGACTTTTGCCAGTTACATCGCTTCATGGGATAAAAAATGTCCATCAAATGCGCACTTCCAAATCTCGATGGAAGTATCCCATGTCATCCACTGGCCGAGTGGGTTTCAACCCTGGTCCTAGAGACACACCGCTCTGCACATTTTCTATGTTTCTCTTATCTGACACTCAGGCGCCGTTTACACGACACCGTTTCCAACTAAAAACTGAAGACATTAATAAACTCTTATGCGTTTTGGCTGTTCACGTACATGACAGTGGCGTTTTCGGGTGTGAAAACGCAAACACGTTTTTTGAAAACAATGCCGCGAATTTGTGAAAACGGAGTGACATCATGCGCATACACTGTAAAAAACAAACAAAAAAAAACAACATTGCTGCCTTAAATTAAGTACAATCAACTTGGATGTTTAACTTATTTCAACTTAAATTTTATTAAACCGACTTAAGTTGAATCTTGTATAGCTTAAAAAGTTGAAAAACTGCTTAAATTATTTTAATAAGTTAAAGCAATTGAAAAAACATATGTTGTCACAACTTATTGATACGGTGTGCGTATTACCAACCCGATCTCACGACCAAGTCGTACGAATTCGACGAATGATTAAAAAGTGGCTAATTCGTAACAATTCATACGACCTCACTCGAACGAATTTGTACGTTTTTGCTAAATCGCACATATTTTATGAATTGGCCAATTCGTATGAATTCGTACGAATGACCTACCCCTTACCCCGCCCCTAAACCTACCCATCACGTGGGTTTAGACAAATCGTACGAGTGAGGTCGTACGAATTAGACACTTTTTAATCATTCGTCGAATTCGTACGAATTGGTCGTGAGATAGCGTAGGTATTACGTGTTCAGTCCATGCATAGTGTTTCTTTACAAAGTTACATTGCCAACTACTGGCCTTTCGACAAAATCATTTTCGTGGATCTGTGTGAATGGGGATCGTTTTGACAACATTGTTGTCTATACTCAAACGCAAAGAAAAAACGTTTTAGTTTTTAGTACATTCTTGTCGTGTAAATGTACCCTTAGTTCAGTTCATGAAGCTCTCACCTAATGAACTGAAGTGATGGGTTCCCATGACCAGGATTGAAAACCACAGATATAGGCTAACCATTGTTAATATTTTTAATAATTAAAAATTACAATTAATTGGCAAAGACCATTCATCAGGCATGCGATTTTTTTTTTTTTTAACCCATGAGTTTGGATGACTTTCCAGTCTTGCAATTTACTGCATATTCTGCATAAGGATATTCTTGAGGATAAGAATTATAAAAAATATTTTCAATTCTAAAATATATTAGACCTTGTCAAAACTAGAAAAAACCTCAAGATTTGATATCTTTTGATTTTTATATCTAGTCTACAAATCTCACTTCTGAAATTAGGTATGTAAAGATATTGTAAAATGAAGATCGACTAATTTATTCTTCTAAAATTATGCGTTTAATTTTCTAAATGACAAAATTTTTTTTATGTCCAACCCAATCTCTCAGTGTGCTGTGCTATAATGTAGAAGCTGGTGATAAATGTGTGTTTGTTTGAGGTAAGGTAATGAAAACAAAAATGACTTCCATAATGAGATGATTATGGTAGGGAGAAATAAATAATCAAGTTTTAGTGACAAACGAAAGGAATGGGAATTAGGAATGACATCCTCCCACCATAAAGAATATCTACACACAATAATAGCATTCTCTCTTGTGCATGTTCTCTTTTATTAGTCTCAGCTTATTCAATGAAGCTACATCTGTAATAGACTAAACCTGGGCTGTAACGATCTGTTTAATAACCATGAAATCTGTGTGGAGAACTTATATAAGATACTGAGAAGGAAAAAAAAAATCAATTGCTCTTTGCTGCTTGAACACTTGAGTCTGTTTTTTTAACCCATGCATTACTGCAAACATACAGAGCTAATTCAGAGATTTCTCAAGCTCTTAGGTAATGCCTAATGAAATGATGAGCATGTATTATTAAAGTTCAAGAAGAGGATCTTTCAGAGAAGGTTACACACTGCACTGCACATAACTTTACAAAAACACAAATACACTGTAAAAAAATATTGGTTTAACTTAAAAAAGTAAGTAACCTGGTTGCCTTAATTTTAAGTTCATTGAACTGGAAAAAGTGAGTTAATACAATGAAGGAGATTAATTTAACCATCAGAAACTCAAAATTATTTGTTATCTGAACTAAATAAATTATTTAAGTTGATTTGACAACATAAAAAATGTTATGATTACTACACTGTAAAAAAATATTGTTGGTTTAACTTAAAAAAGTAAGTAACCCGGGTTGCCTTAAAATTTTAAGTTAATTGAACTGGAAAAAGTGAGTTAATACAATGAAGTAGATTAATTTAACCATCAGAAACTCAAAATAATAAGTTATCTCAACTAAATAAATTACTATAAAGTTGATTTGACAAAACAAAATATGTTGTGATAACAAATCTTGAAAATATTTTTTACAGTGTACAGGAGTCCGAGAAAAGACGATATTTAAAGACAACACACTGGCTGAATCTCCGCCCTTCACTCCACCACAAGCACTTAACATACAAAAACCTTCCGCTCCCATCAACCACTGCTTAGGATAAAATGGAAACCCGTGTGACAATGCATTGTGGGAAGCATATCGCTTGTCAGGGATCTATTCTTATTTTGGATCTTGGAATTCACCAATGGCACGAGCCATTGGAGAGTGTTGTAAATGGAAATGGGTGGTGAAAAGGGAAACCCACAAGGGTCCATGTTGGCTCCATCTCCTCCGACTCAGTCTGGAGCCAACATGGGGTCATTTTACCATTTGACAGGACAGACACACACCTGACACACCTGTCAGAGAGGACTTAGCCAGAGCGCCGATTCCATAGGCGTTGGAGTTCCGCTTTTTCAGCCGAGGGAGGATTGAGGTCGTGTCCTCCATGGACAACTGAAATGAAGGAAGGCATTCAAGAGAGAAAAATGGGACAGAAAACAGGAAAGGTGAAGAAATAGATGGTTTCGGTGGAGCAGGAGGCGGCCAGAGCAGAAATGAAATGCAAAATTTTGAGTGTGGCATTTTATGGGAAGGAAAGAGGTGACAAGAGAAGTTGGGTAGAAAGTTAACAGTGGTTGCTAGAGGTTGTGAAACTACATTTCCCAACAGCCTTGATCTCTGTCCATTTGCATGGTGGGAAGTGTAGTCTTATCAGTTGCATCCGCAATAAACTACTAAAGCACACCAACAAGTCATCGGATAAAAAAAGAGAGACAGATCCAACGAGGCAATGGGGTGTGAGATAGAAGACATCTACTGTGATTCGGAGGAAATAACAAAAGGAAAGGAATGGAGGAATGATATTCACAACACTTACATTGATTCCTTCCCATGAAAAGTCTGTTCGGCCATGCTGAGAGAGAGAGGAAGGAGGGATGGGGAAAGAGAGGGATGGGGATAGAAAGAGAGAAAGAGGAGAAAAGAGCAAGAGAGACGGCCACAGAGAAAGGAGGAGAGAGAGGGGGATCGTGACAGAACAAGGCATTTTAAAAACATGTGAAGTTGAAGGAGAAATAGAGAAATAAAAAAAAGAACGGAGAGAAAATCAAATTGAAGCCAATTTGTGGTCAAACTAACAGTGAGGTGGAATAAAGCTGTGATTAAAGGAATAGTATAGGCAAAAAAAATATATTCTGTTATTATTTACTCGTCTTCAGTTTGATCCAAAGAATACACTGGTTGCTGCTCTTACAATGAACTGAAACTGAAGCTTTCAGTCACCATGAAAGTAGTCTTCTGGATGATACACCCAATTATATTCACCCAATTGAATTGATCAACTTCCTTTCCAGTGACCAGTTCACTGATGAACCAGTCTCATTCAAAATGGGTTTATCCTACGCTATCTCATGACCAATTCGTACGAATTCGACGCATGATTAAAAGGTGTCTAATTCGTACTAATTCATACGACCTCACTCGTACGAATTTGTCTATATCCACGTGATGGTTAGGTTTAGGGGCGGGGTCAGGGGTAGGTCATTCGTACGAATTCATACGAATTGGCCAATTCGTAAAATATACATCGTACTAATTTGTAGGACCTCACTCGCAAAATTAGACACTTTTTAGTCATGGGTCGAATTCGTACGATCTGGTCGTGAGATCGGGTTGGTTTATCAATTGATTCATTAAAAAGATAAGTAAACTGGACATAACTAACGTTTCTCATAATCTTTTATGGAAGCTATGTGGATGTCAAGATTTTCAGTGAATAATATAACAATTTTTGCTGCTCACACAGACACAATTGAAAGCTTCAGTCCAAGTTTATTGTCATAGAATGGAAAAGAGCAACCAGAGGTTTATTTAATAATTTCTCCATTTTTGTTAAAAAAGGGGGAGGCTTTTGGAATATGGGGGTGAGTAAAAGATACATTTTAGTTTTTGGCTGAATGTTTAATGTTTAATTTTGTTTGTTTTTATGTACTATCAATGACAGAGTTTGATAGTGGCAAAGAAATAACTGGATTTTAACATTTGTGAAAGAAAATATGACAAAAATATTATAAAATAGCCTATATATCACAAATGTGATGGCTGGGTTTATATGTATTTGCAAAGTTATTTTGATTTTTTTTTTCCATCAAATTGGTATGGAGTTAGTAGCATGTTCTGGGTGGTTGTTAGGTGGTCCAAGTCAGAAAAGCCTGTCTTTAAGTCTTTATGACATGCTGGTCCCTAGATAAGGCTCAGTCTATGAAAAGTTAAATCAGTTTCATTATCTGTGACAAAAACAAAAAAAAAGAACCAAAAAAAAAGATTCTCACACATCCGATTGTTTAGAAAAGTAATAGCACATCTCTCCTCAACAAGCCACAAGATTTGACATCTCATTCATGTCTGCAGCAGAAACGGTGCAGGATGAGTTACATGCCAAATTTGAACACTTAAGGTTTAGGGTTTGTTCAAATCCCTAACCGTAAGTATGAGCAATAGCAATAGTGAAGTTTGCTTTTGGCAGACAGACAGAAGCATTCTGGAAAAATGAAATTACACGAAAAACTACGGCCTCACACCCATATTGCACAGATAAAAGCAAAAGCTTATGCTGAGAGCAAGACTATTCCTATAGAGCCTATAAAAAGACAGTTGTATGGTTATTTTAACAACATTGACAGTAATAAAGAAAGCGAACACCTGTAGTCAGTCTGTGTTGCAGTCACGGTGGGGCAGAGAGTGAATGTAGTAATGGACTGTCGAGTACAGTCAACTTACTATTTTTACCAGTGTCAATGGTAAAGCGATACACTAAGGTTCAGGGGCTGAGATCACTCCCAGAGAACTGTGCTTACTTGCTACAGATGAGATTTTTTGTATTTCTAGCACAAAAGCCGGAGGATATTTAGTCGTTTCCGACAGAAGCTTATTTGTAGCGCTTAAGGGGTGATTTGCTGTCAGTGCTTTCATGGTAGGCCTATTTGTGGATTGAATTAGATGCTGAGTAATATGAAGTCAGAGTAATGTTAAAATGACTGGAGAACGGTTCAGAACTTCCTGAAGAACGGAAATATTAATAAATAATCAAAATGAACACAATTTTCTTATCTTAACAAATTAGCTTTCTTCAAAATGATAATACTAGCCTATCTCAGATACTGACACAACTTATCAAAGAAAGGTCATCAAAAGAAAGGCAACGTCGGGGTCACGCAGATTATGATATAGCATAAATATTGTAATTACTTTACTCTCAAATTTAACAGGCCTATACAAATACAAAACACACATTATAATAAATATAATCAAAACATTGCATTAAGGCTCGTTCACACCAAGAACGATAACTATAGAGATGGCGACAAATATATAGTACAGTAAATTTAAAAGAATAGCAGAGTTCACATCACCACAACTAACGACAACGGCACATAGAAACAATAAAGTTGGAATCACTTTCAGAGCGATTTTATCCAGCTTATAAACGACAAAATCATTGAGAGTCAATCAGAATCCATCTCGCTTTAAAGAGCCCGAGCATTTAAAGGGCCAGACGATAAAACTGCACCACGTGCTTGGAATAAATAGACCGATATCTTCAGCTGGTGTAGGTGCAAATATAGTTATCTTTATAATTATATAGTTTTATAACCATTCGCATTCCACTTACGGTCAAATAGAACACACTTTGGGTGTGTTCGACTTGAAGAGGCGCTGTGCAGACTGATCAATGTATGCCATCAACTGATTAAAGTACAGTGAGAGCGATTATGAGCAGACTGCTCATACACCAATCGGTCTTATTTTCATTGAAGGAGCAAAAATAGACAAAGTAACGGCCAATATAATGTATACAAAGTAAGGATTTAAAGGGATAGTTCACCCAAAAATGAAAATTCTGTCAGTAATTACTCACCCTAAGGTTGCTCCAACGCCATAAGACTTTCGTTCATCTTTGGAAAACAACCTTTTGTGGTTGCGCACAAAAAGTATTCTTGTCTCTTGATAAACTTAAGGTTGAGCCACTAGACTAGTCACTAAGACTAATTTAACGATGATTTTACTAACTTTTCTGGGCTGGCAGATGCAATTACCTGCCTATGAAGGAGTGAAATATATTAATTTGTGTTCTGAAGATCTTATGAGGTTGGAGTAACATGAGGGTGAGTAATTACTGACAGAATCTTCATTTTTTGGGTGAACAAACACTTTAACTATAATTGTTACAATGGAGGCTCCCGCTCCGTCTCCTCTCCGCCACCAGAGGGAGCCTTCACCAGAGTATTGACCATTGGCTTTGAACTCAAATTCCCATCATACCTCTTACCTGGGACTGATTGCGTCACACACCTGCACCGCATTAGCACACACACATAAAAGCCACTTCCACACACCACACCAGTGCGAAGTCTTGTTTTGCCCTGGTGAACATTTCTGAGCGTTTATACCCCTGATTCTGATTCTCTGGTTTTGGACTTTGGACTGTTTGACTCCCTCTCGATTGTTTTCTGCCTGGCCTGAACTCGGACTGTTTCCTGATTACGATTATTGCTGCCTGCCCTGATCTCTGCCTGCATCTTGATTATCCCTCTGTCTTGTCTGCATTGCTCTGTCTGCCCCGTCTTGATCCTGCCTGTACGACTCTGTCTAATAAAAGCTGCAAATGGATTCCTCTGTTCCTTGTGGATCATTACAGAAGACTTCGCCAACTTCTAATCCAGCAGCGGTCCTACAGTTAACCACCGAACTCACCACTCAAGCTTCCCGTTTGGATCTACACCACCAGCAGCTCAGCCATCTTACCACACTCACTGAACAGCTTGTACAGGGGATGCAGGAGCTTCGCACCGCTGTCGGTGCCACACCCAATCCGCCCGAATCCCCTCCATCTCCGATAGTCCCTCCCGTAAATGTGAGTACATCAGTCAATCCACGGCTCGCTTTTCCTGATAAATTTGATGGCACACCAAGTAAATGTAAAGGATTTCTACTACAATGCACTATCTTCGTCGAGCAACAACCTGCACTCTACCCCAATCACGGGAGTCGTATTGCATTCGTATGCTCGCTGCTCACCGGCAGAGCGTTGGAGTGGGCTACGGCCATCTGGAAACCAGAGGGGAACACCTTTACCACTTTTCAAGAATTTACCCGCCAGTTTCGACAAGTTTTCGAGCATACCACAGGAGAAGGAGACGCAGGAGAACAACTGTTAAATCTCACACAGGGAAGGGACACCGCCGCTGATTATGCACTAACTTTTCGCACGCTCGCTGCACAGACCAACTGGGTCGAAGACACTTTAAAAACGCTCTTTCGAAGAGGACTTACCCCAGAACTCCAGTCCGAGCTAGCCTGTCGCGATGAGGGGAGAGGTTTGAATGAGTATATTTCTCTGGCAATTCAAGTCGACAGTCTGATCCGTGCTCGACGTAACCCCCGGGCAACTAACCGAGCTTTTCTCCGGGCACCAACCCCTCATGAGCCTATGCAGTTGGGTTTCACACCCATTTCTCCAGAGGAACGAGAACGCAGATATCAGAACCGATTGTGCATGTACTGCGGCCAACCTGGACACATGAAGCTCTCCTGTCCTGTACGACCATCCTCTCATTATTCTCCGGTGAGTTCGCCAGCAAAAAAGGGAAAGTCATCTAATAACCTCTCCATTCCAGTTCGATTAACCATTCAGGAACAAGTGTTTGATACTATAGCCTTTATTGACTCTGGAGCCGCTGGAAATTTCATGTCTCAATCATTCGCCGAACAGTATAACATCAAATTGAACCCATGTCATTCTCTTCTAACAGTGGAAGCGCTAGATGGGCACCCCATCGGAGAGGGAAAGATCCAATGTATCACTGCAGACATCAGGATGGACATAGGATCTTTACATTCTGAAAACATCCAATTCTACGTCATTCACGCTCCTCTTCACTCTATCATTCTGGGATATCCATGGCTCCGGACTCATAACCCTCATATTTCTTGGAGAGAAGGTGAGATTATTCGCTGGGATGGAACCTGCCAGAATCGATGTTTAACCAAGGTCACCAAAATAACCCAGTCCATTTCAGCATCCTGCACGAAAATGCCCGAATTCGAATCATTACCCTCCGACTATGCAGATCTCATAGAGGCATTCAGTAAAGAAAAGGCTTCACAACTTCCTGAACATCGCCCCACTGACTGTGCCATAGATTTGATTCCCGGTGCTACTCCCCCAAAAGGGAGAATTTTCCCGTTATCCAGACCTGAGTCCGAAGCCATGAAGCAATACATCGAGGAAGAACTCGCCAAGGGTTTCATTCGACCATCAACCTCACCTGCCGCAGCCGGGTTCTTCTTTGTAAAGAAAAAAGATGGAGGACTCAGACCCTGCATTGATTATCGAGGATTAAATGATATAACAGTCAAATACCGCTATCCACTGCCTCTGGTACCTGCAGCATTAGAACAACTTCGACAAGCCA